AAGTATCCAGTTTAATCTGCCACCAACCCTATGAAATAGGCATTACTGTTCCCATTTATAGATGAGGAAACAAAGATCCAACGAGGTGAAATAGCCTGCAGCCTGCCTCCACTCCCTCTGGTACTAAAGAGCACGTTTGTTGAATTCTAGAGCCCGTGGGTGCTCTTAACCACTGTTCAGTGGTGACCCTGTTTAGTTCCTCCTTGGTCTTCAGTATCTGCGTTTGTTTCACGCGTGTACGTCACATCCACATGTAACTCTGCCCGGCTCAGTCACATAGCAGGCACACAGTACATACTTATTGATAGACTGACTTTGTCCAGGTCTCTGAAGTAGTCCAAATATTAAAGGGAGGAAGGATTGAATATCTGAAAGTAAAGGACACGCGCTCACCTTTAAAGTGTCTGATGTGCAGAAGCGACCTAACCGAGGAGGTCGTGTTCGATATGCAACAACCACGTGAAAAGCATTCTCAACCTCTTCTACTTAGAGGAGAAGGTGGCTGGAGGCAGGGCCCAGGGGACCCCTCACAATACAATAGAGGAAAATAAAGGAAAGGCGGTCTTCCCTCTCTGGGTTCCTGTTCTTAATTAGAAACCGTGCAGGGTGCTCAGGTCAGCTAGCGCTATTAATGTGGTCCTTAGCAAAGTTCTGTCACACTTTAAGGCTATAAACCACTGTGGCCAAGAGTCAAGAAGTTCATCAGAGACACCACAGGGCTCATCAAAATTCCTCACAATGACTGTCCTAGTCCCTGCTTCACCCTCCCTAGAAGGATACGTTTCATTTGCTGATCAGCTCTAATGCTTAGAAAATTCTTCTTGGCGCTGAGCCAAAATCTGGTTCCCCATGACTCCCACCTGATGATCCTGTTGTTTCCTCCTGGACCCTCACAGAATCTTCCTAACTCCTCACTCACATCCCACCCCTTCACAGACCTGAAGCCAAAAGGACTCCTCTCACCTCCATCAAGCCTTGTCTTTTCTTGAGTTAATAATCCCAGTTCCTTTGGGGCTTGTCAAGCCATTTGTTTCTGCCCTCTCCCATGGACTCATTTATTTTTGCCAATAGTTTTTGGTATAAAAAATCAAATTTCTTTGTTTCCAAGCCTGACTTTTTAAAGCGTAGGACGCTGTTAAAATTTGCTACTCTTTCCAGTGTTTAAACGCCTTTCAGGTGGTAGATTCCAATGGAACGTGTTCTGCCACCTTCTTAACAGCAGCGTTGAGCGTGGTGTGGTGGAAAGAACACTGAACTGAGAGTCTGGAAACCTGAGTTTGTCCCTGACTCTGCCTCTAACTCATTAAGTGACCTCAGGTGAGCTTTTTCACTTTGCAAACCCTATTTCCCTTATCTGTAAAATGGGCACGATCATTCCTGCCTCTTCCACAAGGCC